AATCTGACTCATAAATATATTTATGTTTTGATCCCGTTGAAATTCGCTTGCGCATGGATTATTATGCTTTCATATATTTATTATAATCATTTATGTGTAGTGGTGGTCAAACTCATTTATAATTATCATTAAAGTTCAGAAAGTTGATTGGAATAACCTGAGTATTGCTACCACTTTAAATATGAAAATAAAATCTTCCGGAAAATCCGGAAGAGTTGGCAGGAATATAATTGCTATAAAGCGGTAAATTATATAAGCCTTCGAATTACTTAGAAATAGTGGTAGATAAAAATCTACTTAATTGAATTTATTAAACCAAGAATCACATTAAATAAACTACCACTTTGAAATACATATTTGCTGTTCGGAGCAAGTTGGCATCTCTAGTCCTAGTGTTTAGATTTTACTGGGCACCTGGGCCGCGAAGCGGCCCCTATCCCATTCATCTGGAATTTTTGAACAGTTTTGGTTGAGCAATGAGGTAAGCAGGCAATGGAGTTGCTTTTATGAAGTTGGCATCTCTAAAAGTGGTGAATTATATAACTCTACGAATTAATTAAAAATAGTGGCCGATAAAAATCTACTCCATTGAATTTATTAAACCAAGATTCACAATTGATAAACTACCACTTTAAAATATTTTTTTGCAGTCCGGAGCAAGTTGGCATACATGTAAAATGTTTAGCAATATGCACGGAGATGCCAACTGCACCGGATACATAAAATACATTCAAAAACGGTAGATTTTCGGTAAAATTTGTGAACTTTTTAAAAGGCTAACACACGGGTTAATTGTCATCATCATCAAAATGTATCTGGGCGAACGAGACTGCCCGTGTATTAAATGATAGGATAATAGCGTTTAAATAAATGGAGATTTTCTTCTGTTAGATACTTAAATTAAAAAATTATGGTTATCTAAAATCCTTGCCCTTCAACAGTTTTGGATTTTCCGTAGCATCTACACGAGATTCTTGCCCTTTGGTTTTCATTATTATTTCATTCTTAAAACTTGCACGAATATTTCGTTATTGGTACAAATTACATTTTAAATTGTTCAAGTATTATGGTGGGGAGAAATATCTGAAGTTTACTCTGAATGAAAAACTTTTGCTACTAATATATACTTTTCAGGTTTTAAGTTCAATTTAGACCATATAAGCCAAGCGTTATTTTTAAAAAGAATTTTTTTTTAAAAACAAAGAAAAACAGTGGCTGCAGAAGTCTCTCATTTTCGGGATTTGATTTGCACAAACAAGATAATTTTGTCTATCATATATATTTTAATAAGAGAAGTTTTTATGCTTGCATCTGTAGTCGGATCACAGTGCTTCGAGTCTGTCGGGAACATAGAGAAATATCCACTAATTCAGCCAAATTTTGTAATCGATACAGAAATTTACCTTTTCAGACCTCTGAATGTTAAAGCGGTACCTTAAAAAAAGCTCCTGATAGTTAAACGTAAGTTCCATAGCCTCCAACTGCTACGGAATTTCCGTAGTTTCAGAAATCTTCTTTTCAGACGGTAGCAAAATTAATGTCTTAATATTTTAAAAAAATTAATTTTAGCGTAACTTGTCCACTATTACTTATAAAAGTTCATGCCATATGGCTAGATTCTTAAGTTCTGATAAAAGTTTTATGAGAGATCCATTTGCTTTAAAAATTTCTACTTTGGTTCGCTACCACTAGAAAGAATTATTTTCAAAATCCTCATAAGTTGGAGGGTATGACTATTACTATTGAATGAAGTCCGATGAAGACCATATATTACGATTAGTTATATTTAGACTACTTTCTATGATTAGGCAATAATGGAATGGGTTACAATAAGGCTCCTATACTATCAGAGCTGACCTATCAAGCAATATTGGAGCAAACAAGTTCGCTAGTTAACGTTATGTTAGTATTGTGCTTATGTTATTACAGAGATGCCAACTGCTCTGGACACTCCAAAATAATTTAAAAAACGGTAAATAACTACAAAGTAAATTTTTCAAATAAGTGACAATATTTGCTTGCTTTTTAAAATGTAAAGCATGTAATAAGTACCATAAAGTGATGAATTATATAAGCCTACGCATTGTTTAGAAAAAGTGGTGGATTAAAATCTCCTAAATCGAACTTATTAAACCAAGAATTACAATTAATAAACTACCACTTGAAAATATTTATTCGCTGTGCTTATGTTAGCTCTTTGCTCCAACAATAAATGATAAGTCGGCCTGTCTAATTCAGGGGCTCTAGCCTGATGTAAGGCTCCTAAACTATCAGAGCTGACCTATTAAGCAATATTGGAGCAAACAAGTTCACAAGTTAACGTTACGTTAGTACTAGTTATGTTACTACAGAGATGCCAACTGCTCTGGACATGCCAAAATAATTTAAGAAACGGTAAATAACTACAAAGTAAATTTTGCGAATAGTTGACAATATTTGCTTGCTTTTTAAAATGTAAAGCATGTAATAAGTACCATAAAGTGATGAATTATATAAGCCTACGCATTGTTTAGAAAAAGTGGTGGATTAAAATCTCCTAAATCGAACTTATTAAACCAAGAATTACAATTAATAAACTACCACTTGAAAATATTTATTCGCTGTGCCTATGTTAGCTCTTTGCTCCAACAATAAATGATAAGTCGGCTTATCTAATTCAGGGGCTGTAGGTTACAGAAATGCCAACTGATAAACTACCACTTTAAAATATATATTTGCTGTCCGAGGCAAGCTGGCATCTCTGGGGTTTACGTATTAACCGTTAACTCACCGGGCTCGTATTTTATGATAATAAATGACCAGCTTTATAAAAAAATTATGAAAGTTTATATGTGATTACATATTTCTTCCAATTACCAACCAATTTGGTTTAAAAATACAGCAATGGAATCATTTCCAGCTCAATAATGATTTCAGTATTTTTAAAATAATTTAGAAGATAGGAATCATGCTATTTCAATATTAATACTGATAATGTAAGAATAGGGTTACCAGTTTTTGTCATTTTGAAAAAGAGACATGCTCCGAGAAAGAAACACATTAGCATTAAGGCGGTTAACAGCTATAGCAGCAGAAATTATATCGTTTTTCTCGGAAAATGAAAAAAATTGTGTCGATTATAATAAAACTAAGCCATTAATGCAGTTGATTATGGGACTATTTTAACGATTAAAACATTTTNCCAGTGGTATTAAAATAGAATAAAAATTTTAATTTTAATCAAAAAAATACGTTGTATTTGAGAAAGCTTAATTTGCCTACCATGATAGTGACACATATTAATATATATGCTTAATTTTTCTAGGAATAGTGGTGATGAAAATCATTTAAGAATTTTATTTATAAAAGAAAACATAGTATATATTTACTACCACTTTAAATATAAAAATAAAATTTTACGCCAAATGCGTAAAAGTTGGCAGGTATGCATTAGCATTAAGACGGTTAACAGCTGTGGCAGCCGAAATTATATCGTTTTTCTCGGAAAATGAAAAAAATTGTGTCGATTATAATAAAACTAAGCCATTAATGCAGTTGATTATGGGACTAGTATTTTAACGATTAAAACATTTTATATTGTCATTTTAAGCGTTACTCTCCAACTATTTATATTACATTGAAATTGTGAAAATATCGATAATATGAATAATCGATTAAGCTACCTTAAGGGAAATTTATTACCGTGCAAAATCGGAGATTTTTGATTTCAGATCAAGATTAAGATATCATTTATTTTAATTAATGTGGATTAAATTAAATGCAGATTTTATTACCACAAGAACGGGATGCGGCTATACTGTGCCAAAATAATGGTAAAATAGTTCAAGATCATGTTATGAAGTAAGTTATGCTAAAAACTATGTTGGACTGAAAAAGTAAGCAAAAACGAAAAAGGAAGCAAATTAAAGAGAAAGTATATGTACCTTTTTACCTCTTGTCATCAAAGCATTTGCTTCGAAATACGTATTATAGAACCTCGCGTAAATTATTTGAACATAATATCAAAAGAATAAATAAAGATACCCGCCGACCTTAAATTTTTTAGAAAGTGACAGTAAAAAGGAAACTAAATTCGTTACTTTAATAAACTTTTGTTTGCAAATCCTATCATAAGTTGCTTCATTTATTTTTTATTTTTTTCAATATGCTCGTTTTTACATTTTTTATTCTTGCGTAACAAATCTCTGAATGTTGAAGTAATATTTATAACAAAAAGAAGAAGAAAAAAAGACTTAAACTTATTATCAGTATAAAATTGAAATTTAAACGTTGTTGTAAGATAGTTATTGCTATAAAATGTTTTAAATATTTTAAGAGAACAACATTCTCATCAAATTAAAATTCTGAAAAATTTTAAAAATTAATCAAACTTGTTTTTACTCGTAATTGTAAGAAAGGAAAGAAGAATCGTTTCATATTACAACTGCAATTCAAACCTGAACATTATTAAGTTTCAGTATTTTTTTTAAAAAATGGCTTTAAAATAACATTTACTCTTTTAAATTTTTGAACGTACTGTAAAAAGATAATAATTTCAGGAATTTTTTCTTTTAGTCCTCAAAAAAGCTATCATTAATTTTTTTTTTCATTCTTCGTTCAAAATTAAGAAAACGTAGTTGAGCATTTAGAATAAAAAACATTATAATAGTTGTAACAATAAGAGTACTTCTACGAACAGACAACAAAATATTCATAAAATAAAAAACTCTTCAGTGTATTTGGATTTAAATGTTTTGTTATAAAATTCCAGGTAAAGAGTTTTAGACAGTTTTTAGGATGACTTATTTTTAATTTCCCTTATCCTTAATTTTATTATGATTAACCATTTGGCAGATTTTTTCTGGTAGACTATATAACTATCTTACTACTTTTATTAAGAAATCTTTATATATATATATATATATATATATATATATCATACTATTATTAAACTATTACGTAGTTTGAAAATACTTTATACGAAATATGTATTCTAATCCAAAATAAATTTTATTACTTACGTCTTTATTCCTGGTAGACAGTATAGAGCCACGGCCAATTTTAATATTTTCTCCTTCGAATATTACTCCACTGGGGGGTGGTACACTATAATCCACAAAGTCTTCGTCCTCATCGTCTGTTGCAACGCCATTTCCATTTGGCGCTGTTTTGCCATCAATTAAAATTGGCCGCTTTTTGGGATGCAAGGATTTGCATCCAAACGGTGTTGGTAGCACAGCTACGTGAGGAACCACATCTTTACCACGAAAGTCAAACACCATAGACGTTGAAGGTGGGCTGGGGGCTAATTTTTTTACAGGTTTAGGTTCAATTTTGACGGGTGTATCCACAGTTTCAGTTTTCGCACTTATTTTTTGATTGTCAGGTGTAACTTGCACAGCATCAATTTTCATCTCTTGAGCTGGTTTGTCTAATGTGGGAATATCACAAATGGAAGGAGGAGATTTATCAGTAACAAATCCATTTGTTTGTTTACAATCGAGTCCATTCTTTATTTTTGAGACTTCATGAGGCTTGTATTCTTCAACGATTTTGTTTTCAGCGAGTATTTGTTTCTCTTCTTTTATTTTTGACTCCTGAATAGGGTTGCTCTCCTTCTTTATTGGTTCTGGTGCTTTAAGGTATCCATTTATTGAACTTGGTTTGATTTTTGATGGCAATTCCTTGACGCCATTTTCTAAATGTACTTTAGGAAGTATTTTGGGTGGCTTAAGAGATGGTTTATTGGGGGGTACCTTAGGTTTAGAATTAATTATGCCATTGCTTTCTTTTATGCTATTTGTTATTTTATCCGGTATAATTTTAGAATTATCTTTATGTTTTAAACTACCGTTGCAGATTACATCTGGCTTTGAGGGTACGTGAATATCCCTAATATTAAGAAGAAGGTTTTTATTATTTAGTTCTTTCTCCATGTTCTTATTCTCTAGTGGACTACTAATCAGTTTAACGGGACTGGCTTTCACGACATGGCATCCGTTGTAAGCTGGTCTAGTGAGATCTTTCACACAAGGCTTCTTTGCAACTCCGTTAATGCCATTAACAGCTGAAACATTTGATTGAGCTTTCACTGCTGGCGGTTGTTTGGCACTCAGTTTATTTTTCAAAGACGTTCCATTAACTTTGGCACTCTGACTTGACAAGATTCCATTATTCTTCGATGCTGCCAGAGCTGAAGACTTTGCACTAGCTCTCAGAACAGGAGGTCTCCTACAATGAGAGCCCCTTCTAGACTCAGCTGGCTCGAACATCCGCTTGTAGGTCTTCACGGTATCTGGCTTGGGCAACTCTTCGTCGCAAATCATGGGCACTGTACGATTTAAACCACCATCCACTTTACGTATTATTTTCGGTACCTTTTTGTCATCACCATTCATTAGCTCTTTTACAGATGTAGGATTTAAATCCATCAACAATGTGTCCATACTTTTAGCGCGCTTCAAATTCCCTATAGCTGACTCGCTTTTAACACCATTTCCTACACCATTCACTGCCAAACGCAAATCGACACCATTCACTTTCGGAGATCTGTCCTGGTCTAAGAGATTTTCCATACTGCATGATCTCCTCATATTTGTTCCACGATTTTGCTTTAAGGCAATGCTTAGATACCGAGTTTTCAATTTGCTAACGATACCAGGGCCGTACTCAAACTCTTCATCTCTTTCCTCATCCTGAGTCGAAGGATATCCGGCTGAAGTCGATTCACTTTCAGCATCCTCAGAACATGAAGAAATTACGCTGGAATGTCTGTGTCGACATGAACTCACGACTTCATAATTTTTCTTTTCCGCACACGTGGAAGTCCGTTCTTCTCCCATTGTGCTGCTATTCTCCTGTTGAACCATTCGAAATTGTTATTCTCTCGCTCCCCGTGTGATCGTTCACAACAGCGGGGAAGAGGATGCGCGTTTGCCTCGCTAAACGCGTTTCTTCTCGCGAAGTGTGCTCTGCTTCATACGACCGATCACATCGAGCACGAACTCGAAACTGCAGGGTTGCTGACATCAATCTACTCGCCAACCGCTTTGACAGCTGAACGCCAAATTGGCGATTCTCTCGGGAATTAAATGATTTGTAGATTTGTTTCAAAGAATAAGTTTATAAAAGGTGCATTTTTTTCTAACAAAGCCGTTGTTTCGTAAATATTTCAATGATTTTCCATAAAACTAATTTAAGATAACTCCAAATAGTGAAAAATAAGCAGATATTAAATATAATTGATTTAGGAATTATACGAAAAAGAGGAATAATAAAATCTCAATGGACATTTGCATTATATTATCTTCTCTTATTTTTTATGCTGAATTTTATCGGCCATTAGTTTACAAGCATTTCTTTCTTTTATCTGCTTAAAAGAATTAAATTTAAAATTAATTGATTTGAAACGTTTTATATTACAGTTTTAAATTTTTTTATGCATCTTTTAAAAATTCAAATATACAATGAATAAATAAATAAATAAGTTAATAAATAAATAAGTTAATAAATAAATAAATAAATAAATAAAATGCTTTTTAAAATAAGCATATTATTTCATCTATTTTTTTTTTCTTTTGCTTATTATTTGCTTCCATTCATATATTGTTATTCCTGCTTTATTTTTTTTATTTTGATTGCTTAATTATTTCATTTTTTATTCATTTGTTTATTTATTTGATTACCAAATTACTTAATCAGAAAAATTAATTTAATTTTCACAGAAATATAATTTAAGGCATTTGAATATTTAGGTGAACATTTATTAGTTTTTCTAATTATAAAAGGAAAGCACTTTTATGAAAAGTGAAAATCAAATTGTTGCCATATCTAAAAAATATGCAATAAACAAATTATTAAAAGTAAAAGTGTTAATGAAGCCTTCAATAAGTAAATTATTTAAATATTGTTATTGTCATTGCTGCAAACTTTAATTGTTTATTTGTATTTTTATTTCATTCTTCATGGAAGTTTTTCCCATGTGATGATGAAAACCTGAAAACATTAACTAAACTTGTTTATTTCCATCATTAAAAACATCATCACCTCGTAATCAGGTATTATCATGAAAATTTGAATGATTTGCCAGTTGTAGTGCATAAATCAATTATACGGGGGAACGATTTTTTTTTTCTTCTGTTGAGTAAGATTTCTGAACGTATCTTAAATATTGTTACGTCACTAATTTCAAACCCGAAATCGGTTTCTTTCTACAAGCTACGTTTTTCATGTATTTTAGTAATGTATACTTAACCAGGAATACTTAAAATTCACTCGAGTGAATAGTAGGTAGTCCCCACTTCTCTGCTACGTAGGGAAAAGGGAAGAAGGCGATAATGCATTACAGTTTATGATGCAATACTATAGGGTCATATGCGTTTTGCCTCAAGTGTTATTTTTAAGTGACCAGACTAGTGCATATGTATGTCTATAAACTTATTCCTTCTTTATAAATTTTTACATTGAAATAAAAAATAAACTTAATTAAAAATACTATTTTGAAAAAAAAATCTGTAACTTTCGGAACAAAGATAATTTTAGATTTGAAATAATCCCCTCACCTTAAATAGGTAAGATCAATATTATAAAGTTGACCACATTAGTTTGGTTGTAAAAGAATAAGAATATCCTAATCAGCTTTTATATTTTTTAAAATATTGCATAACTGATAAGTTCATGCGTTCAATGATACAAAGCAGATACTATAATGGTCAGTGAACATCCTTTGGAAGGAGGGGAATTAATAAGAAAAACTTTCAACTTTAAAAAGTGGTAGATAAAAATATAATTTCCATCCAAAATGTTTTATTCGCAATGATACCAGTACCATTTCTAGGGCAAATAATTATCCCTGTTTCCGGGAAAGATTTTATTTTTATATTTTAAGTGAGAGTAAAATTTATGACATGTTAGTTCACTCTTGATCTTATAAACACGATTTAAAACGATTTTCAATAGCATTATAAGCATACCTGCCAACTTTTATTCCTTTCGAGGATGATTTTTCTCAGTGGTAGTAAAATGGAATTTAAATTGCAATTTTAGGCAGAAGCATACGCTGTATTTTAAAAAAGCTTATGTGGACTACCACGATAGTATTGCATATAAATATATACTTAGTTCTTTTTTAAAAAATTGTGGTGGTCAAAAATATTATAAATTAAGCTCATAAATTCAAGGAATGTATAGAAAGACTGCATTTTACTACCACTTTAAATATAGAAATAAAGTTTTACGCCAAATACGTAAAAGTTGGCAGGTATGTATAAGTAAATAATAAAACAGATATGAAGAGGTATAAGTGGATGAAGCAGGTAAGTGACATTTTCATGGGTAATCCAGAGATGCCAACATACTCCGGACAGCAAATATAAATTTTAAAGTGGTAGTTTATCAATTGTGACTCTTTTAATAAATTCACTTTAGTGGATTTTTATCCATAACTATTTCTAAATATTTCGTAGTCTTATATAATTCACCACTGTATAGTACTTCATACCTGCCAACTCTTCCGGTTTTTCCGGAAGATTTTAATTTTGTATTTAAAGTGGTACCGAAACTCTAGTCATGTCATTAAAATTTTTGAATTATAATAATAATTATAAGTGAGTTTGACCACCACTACGTTTAAATAATTACAACAAATATATAAAAGCATACTAATCTGAACGATAACGAATTTTAACCCAGTCAAAATATAAATATATTTTTGAGTAAGGTTGTTTTTGGGTAATTGTTTTACTACCACTTGGAAAATTCATTCTCAGAGAGAGTGAAAGTTGGCAGATATGGTACTTAAGTCATGCTATAACTTTTAAAAAGCAAGCAAAAGTAGTCCTAGATTTGCAAAATTTACTTTGTATTTATTTACCGTTTTTTTAATTATTTTGGCGTGTCCGGAGTAGTTGGCATCTCTGGTAATCAGAGAAAATAACTGAAAGTTGTCGAATTATTAAGTTTAATGGAAAAGAGGAAAAGCTGGTGGTAAAACTATTTTCATAGCTAAGTTTTGGGCAGAGTAAATCTATTCTTTTATCCAATCTATTCGCCTATATCTATTATTTCTCGGGATTGAAGCAGTTATATATCCTATAATTGTAAAAAAAATCTTAGCAGTTACAGAAATTTAGTTTCTTCCGAAAAAAATGCTGACATGAAATGTATTTCGTACCAGTTTTTCCTTTTTTCCCTCTTGATATATAGATGAGCTTTCAGCCCCGAGTAGGTATGTAATTATATTTGCTTTAATTTTAACATAGTTATTCTGCACTAGTTTTGCGTATATTGTTAGCTTAACTTTAAATTTGATAGTAGAAAATAAAACAAGGCGGCTGTTAATAAAAATCAATTACAGATTCTTTCTGCTCGAAAAAATTTATAAATTTTTAATATTTATAATAAATTTTTCATTCGTTATTTTTAATAAAATAATAAAAAATTTAGTAACAATTATAAAGATTATTTTGTATGATGCATTTGTATGAGAGTAACATTTTTGAGGTTACCCTTTCGAATCGTTGAGAATGAGTCCTAGAATGTCAAGATCCGATCATTAAATCAAAGGTTATTAAGAATGATCCGTTTTTCATTATACTCACTGTACAACTAGTAATACAACTTCTAATAAATCGACAATTCATGTTATAAATGTTTATGCAATAAGCCACTTTGTTACTTGTGTTGACCCTTTTAAAAAATTGGTAAAATCAATCGAGAATCTGCAAATTTCAGTTCGTAGTTCTCTAACGTTTCTTAAAATACTTGATCGATTCAGGAGCAGTTGCATACCTACCAACTTTTAATCCTTTCGGGGATGATTTTCCCCAGTGGTAGTAAAATGTAATTTAAAATGCCATTTTATGCATAAACACATGCTGTATTTTGAAGAAGCTCAAGCGGACTACATACCTGCAAACTTTTACCAATTTGGCGTAAAATTTTATTTCTATGTTTAAAGTTGTAGTAAAATGTATGCTTTCTATATGTTCCTTGCATTTATAAACTTAATTTATAATATTTTTAATTCACCACTATTTTTAAAAAAATTAAGCATATACATTCCCAACTCATGATACTAGCACATACCTGCCAACTTCTAATCCCTTCCATTATCATATTTCCCAGTGGTATTAAAATGGAATTAAAACTTCAATTTTAAAAAACAAATACGTTGTATTTGAGAAATCTTAAGTTGACAATCATGATAGTAATTCATATTAATATATGTGCTTAATTTTTGTAAGAATAGTGGGGATCAATATCATTTAAAAATTAAGATTATAAAAGAAAAAATAGTATATAATTACTACCACTTTAAATATGAAAATAAAATCTTCCGGAAAATCCGAAAGAGTTGGTAGGTATGCTAGTAGCTCATGCCTTCAATTCATAAGGAAAGGTAAAAGGCTCCTTCGGGGCCTAAACGCCTTGACAAAATAGCGACGACGACGGCATATACATTAATATTTAATACTGTTCTGCGAAATTCGCACAAGCTAGTTCATAATACAGCAAATGTTTCTGCCTAAAATTGTAATTTACATATCATCCTTGAAAGGACTAAAAGTTGGCAGGTATGTGACTGTCATAACAGTATTACTTATTTATTTATATGTTTAATATTTTTAAAAATAGTGGTGGTCAGATAGATTATAAATTAAGTTTATAAATGTTAGGAATATATAGGAAGCATAAATTTTACTACCATTCTAAATATAGAAATAAAATTTTTACGCCAAATGCGTAAAAGTTGGCAGGTATGCAGTTGGCATCTCTGAGTTCATAACAATCAAAATTTCAGGCTTATACAAAGTCTTTTTTTACAGTGGAAGAAAACTTAACCTGACATTTTAAAAATAAATAAATGTTATATAAAATTTTTATAAAGGTTTGAAATAACAAAATTTAAAGAAAAAATCTGTTATTTCTTAATTATTAAAATTTTACTATCAATTTAAAAATATGCGCAGTAAACTACGGAAATTCTATAGTAGTTGTAAGGCATATGACAGTTACCAATGAAATAAT